CCTTAGGATGAAGAAGTAAAAACTTTTCTATTTATTATAAAATCAATTTATCTGGCAATTTTTTCCATGTTTTTTCAGCCTTAAAAGCGGACCCGGACACTTTACCGACACCCACTTTACTGACATTTAATAAGGAAGAATTAAATCAATTTCTTGCTGATGATTGAGTGTTTCTGTCGAAAAAACGTAACAAGTTTTAGCAATCAAGTTCCAAATTGGAAGGAATAGGTGTAGTGATGTCCACCGAAACCCTCCCTTTTCGAAAGTCAACTATGAATACATTTGACTAAACATCGCTTATTTTATTACCATCAAAAATATCAAAAAATCATTATCAAATTTATAATTAATCCTAGTTTTTTTTTCTTTCGTTTTGGTTTTCATCATCTGCATCACTATCATAACCACTATCTATATCATTTGTTTTATAATTATTGGTGTCTTCACAAGTTGCAGGTTAATTTTGGTATTAATATTAGTCACTTCTGTATCAAAAAGTCTTCCTGAGATTTACATTTCTATTATGTGGTGTGTAGGCAGGTCTACATTATCCAAGTAACTCAATAAAATATAACATTAGAAGATATACAACACGTTATAAATGCCCGATTAATACCCCATCAATATTATCATTCCTTTATGTGATTAATGTTGTGCTTTCGTAGAATTCAGACAAACTTGGTTGTTCTTGTTTATTAGAAGAAATTTGATTTACTACACCACATTCCTTTACCAGATGTTTCTCATCAAAAAATTTGACACAATAGTGACACTTGGCAAAATAATGTCCTTTGCTATTTTTAACCTCACTTCTTTTTGCAAGTATATCCAAACATTTAAAGAAGGTCGTCCAATAATTCATGAATTTCTAATTTGATTCTATTTAGAATTATGTAATTATGCAAAACATATTGTAATCATCTCATTTTTTTAATTCAAATAATTACTTTCGTTTTATATTATTAATATATGTACCATTATCAAAAATAAATAAATTTTTTATAAATTTTTTTCAGTTTTTGAACAAAACCGAAAATTTTACCGAAAGTATTTAGTTTCGGTGGACATCCCTAATACAGAGTGTTTTATTATTAAATACAATCTTGGCTGACTTTTTTTCGGAGGAAGGAATTTTGACTGCCAATGATAAAAAGTAAGAGCAAAATAATCAACGATCGAAAGCGATATGACATATATATAAGAAAGAGGTAGTACGAGAATAGATTATGTTTCTTGCAATGGCGAGGGTTAGATGCAAAAGGGGGAGATTGAAGTGGCAAAAGTGTTGGATCCTGGTGGCGATTAATTATGAATTATGGGAATAAATGGTTTCATGTCTAGAAAAATCACACCATCCTTTGTTTATCATCTTACGTCTCTTCTAATTAATTGTTACTACATTATCGTCATCATCGTCATCATTGCCACTTTTATGGATATTTTGATTATTATTATTATTATTAATTGATTATTTTATTCAAATAATACAAAATAATCTATATGTTTAATTTATCTATAATTCAAAAATATACGGAAAACTTGTTTTCAAAAAAGATGTATATACTAATACATGAATTTTACGTAGATGTCTGATGAAATACCAAGATAATCTTGTTTATTTGCTAATTGAATACATGCGATCAAACCTGGGATGAGCACCAAGAGTAAAGAATTTTTGACGAGTCTGATCTCTAGGTGAAAGAATCTTATTGCAAAATATAAATTTCAGTATAAAGGTCGCTAAAAAAGGGCAAAAAGGTGCCGTCTGTGATACGATTATTTTCCTGCAAACTCAATGATGAAGCCTGCTTTGAATCTTCTCAATTTCATTCTGGGAATTGAATTTTCAGTTTGCGTGCTGCCCCTCGGCTCAACCGAAAAACCTATATTAATATTAATAAACTTATGAGATCATGCCATCTATCATTTCACAAATTTTGTTGTTTTTTTCTATTGCATGTCTGATTGTTTGGTTTCGGGCCACATACCCCCGTTTTTTATTTTAGTAGTGTTATTATTAGAAGTGTGGACTTTTTTGACCTTATAATCTTTGTATATAATGTTTGAATGTTGTTATCTTCAGGTAAAGTTTCTCCCCTTAAAAATTTTTGTTACTTTGAGTGAGAGAGAAACTTTCGCATTAATTTTTTTTCTTTTAGTTAGCAACGTGCTACAACTATCAACAATCTTCTATGAGGACGACGATGCTGTGTGTGAACATAGGTATTAGCATTAGGCGTGCTTTTTTATGCTTTCCCACTACAAGATGTATCGAATTGACGAGATGACATCGAATTTAAAACTAGATCTATCATTAGTATTAGGAGAAGAGATACTATATACCATTTCTGTTAATATTACTACCATTAACAGTGCCATGTAAACAAATGATTCATTAGTATTAGAAAATTGTTATTTAGATTATGTCGATCATCAAAGATTATCTATCCAAACTAGCTTTTGATTTAAAAAAAAATAAATTATGAACGAAAAGTAAAAATATCAAATTTCAAATTTTAATTATTTTTATTTTTTTTTAATATTATTACTATTGTTATTAAAAAGAATTAATTTTGGAGAATAGAAAAATCTTACTATTGGGATCTGGGTTCGTTGCTGGACCAGCAGTTGAATATATCCTGAGAAGACCAGAAAATAAATTAACCATTGGTACAAATTAGAAAAGATTAATTATTTATTGAAATAAATTTATTGATTTTTATTAACTCACACTTCAAAATTTTGCCTGATTATTTTAGCTTGTAGACGTATTACTAATGCTCAATCACTGTGTCAAAAGTTTTCTCGTGCAACTCCTGTATCGCTTGATGTGACAGATGAAAAGGCTCTTGGTGAAATTGTTTCTAGTCATGACTTGATAATCAGGTGAGGATTTTTTTTCTTTTTTTTGATTTCTTTTGCATCGAGCCTGATATAAAATTTCAATTATCACCTTTTAGTTTGATACCTTATGAATATCATCCTTTGGTGATTAAATCTGCTATAAAACATAAGAAGCATGTGGTAACCACTAGTTATGTGTCACCAGCTATGAGAGAATTTGATGCAGAGTAAGTTTACCAATGATATTATTTCATTACGGTTATTCTATTATTACTAAATATCATATATATATATATATATGATAATATTTTAGAGCCAAGAAAAATGGGATTATAGTCATGAATGAAATTGGTCTTGATCCTGGTGAGAATAAATTTTCCAAAATAAATAAATAATTGGTTGATTTTTAATAATAATAATAATAATAACCCCTTGGTTTTATAATCGATAGGAATTGATCACCTTTATGCCGTAAAAACTATCAATGAAGTTCATGAAGTTGGTGGAAAGGCAAGTATTTTATTTTAAAATAAAGTAATAATATACGCTGTAACAAAATAATTATAATTATTAATTTTTTTTAGATTTTATCATTCATTTCATATTGTGGTGGACTTCCAGCTCCAGAAGCTTCAAATAATCCTCTTGGTTATAAATTTAGTTGGTTTGCTCGTGGTGTTCTATTGGCATTAAGAAGTGCAGCTAAATATTATCAAGATGGAAAAGTATATATTTGGAATTTATTTTTTATTTCAATGATATTAAAAAAAGTTGAATAACTTGAATTTTTAAAATTAATAAGGTTGTAGAAATTCCAGGAAATAAACTTATGGAATCAGCAAAACCATATCTAATTTATCCAGCATTTGCATTTCTCTGTTATCCCAATCGTGATTCTACACCTTTTAGAGAATTTTATAAAATCCCTGAAGCAAAAACAATTTTACGTGGTACCTTACGTTACCAGGTATTTTATTTCATTTTATTTTATTAAATAGAATATATGTGTGTACATGTATTTTTTAACCATGTGAGTTTTTTTTTAGGGTTTTACCAATTTTTCTAAAGTTTTACTTGATATTGGAATGTTTGATGATTCTGAGAAAGATTATTTGCTTCCCAGTTCACCAGATATTGCATGGGTAATTGTTAATGTTTATATATATATTTGTGAATTCTAATTTTTTGATTAATGAACATATCTATTTACACGTGTAATAGAGAGATGTTTTGGCTAAAGTTCTTTGCGTATCTAGTAATTCTGAACAGTAAGCACTCGAAACAAAATCTTTTTTTATTAATTGTAATGAAATTTCTAAGATATTTTTTTTTTAAAAAAAGTGATATTCGTGATAAAATTAAATCTAAAGTAAAAGACCTATCAAATGAAGAAGTTGAACGAATTCTATCAGGTTTTAAATGGTTGGGGTTGTTTTCTGATGCAAACGTTGATCGCAAATCCAATTTACTCGATACACTTTGTGCAACTTTGGAAGCAAAACTGAAATATGCAGAGGGTGAAAGAGACATGGTTATTCTACAACATAAATTCGAGATTGAGTGGAAAGATGGTAAAAAGGTGAATTCAAAATTTTATATTTGTGATGATGCACACAATTGAAAAAAAAATGGACAATTGGTTGATTTTTTGTTATTTTTTAAAAAAAAGGAAACACGGACTTCAACTTTATTAGAATATGGTAAACCATGTGGTCCATCTGCGATGGCTACTACTGTAGGCCTTCCTTGTGGAATTGCAACTCAGTTGATATTAGATGGTAGTTTTTAAAATATATATTTTTATATTTTATATTTTGTATAGTATATTTAACAAATATATTTGCATCTTTAAATCGAAGGCATCATAAAAAAGCCTGGTGTCTTGGCTCCATATACGCCAGAAATTAACAATCCAATAATAGAGGCTTTAGAAAAAGAAGGAATCAAAGTCATTGAAGAAACATTGTAAATATATTATAAATTTGGATTTTATTGATATTTTTTTGCACTAAATTATGATACAATTTATATGTTTTATATTTTTATATTTATGTTTATGTTTTTTATATTTTTATATTTATATCTATATTCATATTCATATTTGTATGTTTATATGTTTATATATATTTTCTTTTTATTTTTATTTTTAATTGATATCATAATTCATTATCGAAATCAACAAAAATATCTTTATCCCATTTGTTTTCATATTCTTTTGTGGAAGGTCTGTTTTGAGAAAATGATTAATATACATACATACATACACGTGCGCTGTTGTAATTAAGAAAATAAAAGCAAAGAATTTTAATGAAACTTACCCGCTGAAAGGATAACAAGGATCGATTGTGCGTGAAATGATTGGTATTTCGTATTTATTCATTTGGAAATCACAATCAAGAGGATCTATTAATAATCGTTTTAAAGATTTTTTCTCTTTAAAATGTTTTTCAATGACAATTAATAATTCTTCATTAACCATCTCGCTCCTGTAAATAGCTAATGCTTGTAACGAAGCTCTGCATTCTTTTAGGAAAAAATCTAATATATCAGGAGAAATTAAAAAATCAAACCCAAAATATTTTAAAGTTTTGGGAATTTTTCTAGAAAATGTTGATAAATTTTCGGTTGAGGTAAATGGAACATCTGCCGAGTTTGTATAGATTGATAAATGGTTTAAATTTTTAAGTGAATCAAATAAACTGAATAATATCTCGGGTATTTCATTTATTATTAAAGAAATTGACAAATGTGTTAACTTTACACAATATTTCGAAATTGTTTCTAATAATTCTGTGGTAACGAAATCGGTTGATAATGTTTTTAAATTAGAGCTAGACATTATGATTATGGGATGTAATGAAATAAATATGTCATATTCTGATCCGGATCCCTCATAATGTAAATTTTTTAAATTAATCGGTTTTAATTTGTCATCATCATCACTGAATTCCTTCAAATCTTCGATATTCTCCTCGTAAAACCCAATTATTTGTAAAGTTTCTAAATTGTTTAATAGGTGTAAAATATTTAATAACTGATGATAACTATTTTGTGATAGCTGGTGAAGCTTTAAATATTTTAGAGAGTTTGATAATAAATCACTAGATAAACTTTGCATTACTAAAGAAGCTGCAGAATTCGACCATAATATTGCAATGGTTAGATCTTTTAAAGAATTCTGCGACTCTAAAAATAATGAAATCAGTGAATCAAATTCATCAAGATCTATGGGCTCAACAGGTAACCCATTAAAATCTATATGCGCATACTCAATCCTAGAAGAATATTCCGTTAAATCTATAAATAAATTACCAACAATTTCAAATTCTCTATCTGTTACTAATCCTGAATAATAAAATAAAAATTCTTCGAGTGTTGAAAGAATCGTTTTGGATTTTGCAAATGCTGTGATATCAAAAGACGAATCTTCTTCGTCCTCTTCTTCTTCATCATGATTAAATTTTAAAGATTTTAAATAATTAATATTATCAAATAGTACATCGACAATTAAATTTTGTAATAAATCTAGACGATCATCTAACTCTGCAATAAAAGCCTCGTAAATTTTAACGAGTTTTAAATTATCGTAGTAATAATTGATTAGCCAGCATCTTATCGAATTTCTTAACCCGTTAATGTCTAGTCTTTTAAAGAACTTTGGATAATTAAATAATGTTTTTTTGTTTTCATTGTCATTATTGTTATCATTATCGATGATATTATTAAATCCTATATTGGTTAACACTTCTTTTTTTTCATCAGTTAGAAACAGTATGTAAACATCTATAATTTTATGTGCTCGTCTCCCAACAAATGAAAATGGCTGGCTCCATAGTAATGAAATTCCTGACCTACACCAAAGTCGGTTAACTAAAACACATGAATGAAGTGATTCTATATCATCCTCAAGAAATTGCAAGATTCCTTCAACACATTCAACCGGTAATCTAATGGAACTGTTTGGCTTTTTTATCATTTTTTTTTTTTTTATAAAAAAAAATTCATGTTATCCAAAGTTACACCAATTAATATTAATATTAAATCATATTTTTTTGCGTAGATCTAATTTTTTATTAAAAAGGAATTAAAAAAACAAAGGTAAATAAATATAAACAATAGTGTGTGGCCTTTCCTACTCGAGCAAGATCTTTTCTCTATCTTCTGCAATAGCGGCAGTATAAAAAACGTTGGAAATTAGAACGTTCAACAAAATTTACAAAATTTACAAGATTTGCAGAAAAATTACTAAATATAGTCCTAATGTTTGCATTACCAAATTTATTCCAAACTTTGTGCAAGGGTTCTTTTAGCTTAAAAACGTACCCATGATTACATCATGATATTACCCTTTTAACATTAAAGAAAGTGAATTCCCTTTTTTTGCTCAGGATGTGAATCACATAATCATTTTGAGATAAGAATTCATAGATTATACAAATGCAGTGCAGTTAAATGAACACCTTATGTTGTGGAGCAACATTCCAAAAAATTGAGGCACTTAAACAAAAGGTTTCTATGCCGTCCAAGAGGCATGGAGCCAGTGTAAGACTTCCGCCAAATGATAGCTTATATGATCTAATTGATGAACTGTTGGCGCCACAAGAGGAGATACACTTACTAGAAGAGCTTTTAATTTGGAAATCAATGGTTATTTAAGATCGATCGCATTGACCAAAAATAGCTTTAATTTCAAAAAATATTTTTATTTTATTTTTAAATAATGCCGAGTAATTTCTTGGTGTGTTCATTGAATAATTATAAAACATAATAACGTTTGTGATAAATAAATATCAGTTTATTTCCTGTACCAAAGTTGTGTTGTCTAATTTTAAGAAAAATCAAAGGGAAATGAAAGATTAATCAATATTTTTATTACAACATAAATCAAAATAATTATTTAAAAAACAATATCAATAACGAACTCTAGATCTTCTCATCTTTTTTTGTAATTGAAGTACACCGTATAGTAAAGCTTCTGCCGTTGGTGGACATCCTGGAACATATATATCTACAGGAACTATCCTATCACATCTGTTAATCATAAAAAATTCATCTATTAATAATTAGTCATAATAATATCATTATTAATTCAAATATTCATTATATTTAAATTACCCTCTAACAACACTATAAGAATAATGATAATATCCTCCTCCATTTGCACATGAACCCATAGAAATTACCCAACGAGGCTCAGGCATCTTTTTTTTTAAAAAAAAAAAAAAGTAAATTAATTAGATTGATTAATAAATCAATCATTTTAATTTGCTTAATTACTTGATCATAAACTTTTCTTAGCGCAGGTGCCATTTTGTTTGTTAAAGTACCAGCTACAATCATAACATCAGATTGTCTCGGTGATGCACGAAAAACAATACCAATACGATCTTGATCGTACCTTGATGCTGCCATATGCATCATTTCAACTGATTATTGTAATCTTTTCATTAGTTAAATTGTAAAAAAAAAAAAAAAAAAACTTTAGACATTAATGATTAATTCAATAATTTACCAGCGCAACATGCCAAACCAAACGTCTAAAATAAAGAATTATAATATTTATTAGCAAGTCGTTTGATCAAGAATAATAAAAATAACAAGTGTTCTTTATTTTACCATTGGCCAGATTGATCCCTGACGAGCCCAATTAATCACTTTATCAACAGTTGATAAAACATATTCTAAAACAGACAAATAAAATAATCAATTAATTACATTATGCAACATTATTACACATTGATTGTGTTATTATGATTATGATTATAATTATAATTACCTGCAGTATTTGCAGGTTGAGCAAGCGCAAAATCTCCTGCATAACTTTTCGTTATCCTAGCCTTTGATGTTGTAATCTCTTTATTTTCAGTTGTTAAACTTCTTAATTGAATATTAGAAATTTCTATTTAGATAATAAAAATAAATTTTTGAATAATTACTTGCTAAAAATATTTGAATTCCTGCATGGGCAAATAATTTTAATTAACCTTTCTTTTTCCCAGAAATTCCTGTGATCAATCTTGGTGAAATTATTGAGTAATGATTTTCTACAAAACAATCATTATTATTATTATTATTATTATTATTATTATTATTATTATTATTATTATTATTATTGGTGAATTCACTTCTGATCAATGATCAAAAGCTCATCCCAAACATTGATCTAAATACCTTTAATAAATAATTTTAAACATTTTAAGCCAGATCTTGAAGTAAACATTTTAAAAAAGATTGGAAAAAAGTGTAACAAATACCACACTTTGATGACTTCAATTGATTAATAATAACACAAGAATAAGTTTGATTTGATCGACATTCGCAATTATCACGCTTAAAAAAAAAATTTGAAATCTCCCTCTATAACGGATATTATTAATTAAATTTTATATAATAATAATAAATATTTTAAAGAGCCGGCTCGGATCTGTTCTGTACCTAAAATCATCTTTAATAATTGGTAATTTTACATGCTATATAAAAGAAAATCCAATAAGTCAATACGCCTTTTTAAATAGTGTAAGTTATCCCGTGAACAAATTGTGGTGCTGTGGGATAATTCGCACGCACATTGAACATACATGATATGATAATGGGGACAAAGGCATTCACATCCAAGGAAAGAATTAAATGACAACTAAAAAGAATTATTTTGATTCAACTAAGGGAAATATATATATATATATATTTCCACTATTATTATTAATATTATCATTCACTATTGCTAATATTAGTATCTTTTTTATTCATATTTTCCATCTTTGATTCTTTTATTGTTGATAAAAGTTTTTTTGCGGTGGAGGCGTTAACTCCCTTCCATATAATTCGCGGATTTCAATTTTCATTTCACCAAATGAAAAATTTGCCTTTTATCAAACAATTGTTTAAAATCCTCCCACAACTTTTAAATTTCCCTTGAGTATTTTTTCTGGGTTCCACTAGATTAATTATTTTACCTATATTGTTTTTGATATTATAGAGCTGATTTTTGTAGATTTGATGATACAGTAAAAAGCCAACACCAAAAATTCACTTGAATTTTTGTTAGTATTTGTGGTTTATTTTTATATTAATATTGATTTATAATATTGATATTGATATTGATATTGGGTTTGTTTTACACTAACAAGAATTATGGCCGTACTGATATTGCTAATAAAGGATTCTTTATCTATTTATGTGATTTGCATTACTTGGATTTAAAATTTTTTTTTGGCCAATTCATCATCCACTGAATTTGATGTTCGCTTTGTTGCAAATATGACCCATATAATAAAATTTCCAAATTAGTTTAATTTTTTCATGTGCTTTAAAGAAGAGGGAATTAAAAAGCCCAATTTACATATTTATCAGCCAGTTACATATACACATATATAATATATAAAATAAAAATTTAAAATAAATAATTTTTATCATTGTTGCTGTGCTTGATATTTGAGACGTGATTGCTCAAATAAATCTTCTTGCTGTTTTAATAATTCTTCTTCGGTCATGCCAGAATTTTCTAATCTGGAGCTTTTCTTGTCTCGATCCTATTAATCCATATTGATTATTGATTATTATTAACAAGTTAATGCCATTATTATGTAACCCTTCCTAATTTGTCTAGATAAAATATTTAATTCATCACCTTTTGAAGCCTTTTATGTTCTTTAAATACTTCTTGTACTTCAGTAAGATAATTTTCAAACCCCAATTTCTAAAAAAAAAAGTTTGGAAGAATTTAAAATTTTTTTATTTAAAAAAAATCTTTATATTAATATTATCAAATACATACTTGAAGCGCAGAAAAAACATGTTCAGCTGCAATCGTTTTCTTTGCTTCATTTTCACAAATACTATTTGCTTCTGAAGCAATCAATTGAATAAATTCTAAAAATTTTGTTTGGAAAAACCAATTTTATAAATTATATCAGATATATATATATATGTGCATTATATATATATACATACAATTATTATCACTTACCAACACAACAATCTATTAACAAATCACGGGTGTCTTTAGCACAAGCAATATCAGGTGGAAGCATTTCTGTAATAATCTTTGTAACAGTCGCTTTTATATTATATTATAAAATACAAACAATAAAAATTTTTTACTTTTTTTAATTGATAAATAAATAGATTAAAATAAAATTTTTTTTAAATGAGTAGAATACCTTTTGGAAGTGACAACTCATCGTCTACACCTCCGTTTCTAGACGTTTCTTTATCACTCATTCTGAGATAATAAAATTTTTTGTAGTGGTAGTATTATATATTGTGTATAGATTATAAGATCGTATTTTTAACATTATCAGTAAAGGTTAAATTTTGTCTTTATATAAAGAAATTATTATCAAAAATAATTATTAGAAATGGTATTAGTATTACGTAATATGATTGACCACATGACACTGCTCAAAATATTATTGGCCAGTCATGAAAATCCCTAACATATGGGGGAGGACCCCTGAAACTATTCACCAATACTAATCCCAAAAGTTAAGCTGTAATAGCATTAACCAAAAACTACCTTGAAATATCACTATCAGAAAACTGTAAAAAGTTTATTACTTCAAAATATTGTTTATAAATAAAAATAAAATAAAAAAAGAAAAAATAGCTAATTTAATCTCCATTATAAATTTATTTGTTATAGTTATATTTATTTTTAATTACTAGAATCTAATGTTTATTAATCAATCAAATTGCTAGTAATAATTAATGGATAGAAATTTCTAATTAATTAATAATGGAATTTTGTTAACATTTTAGAGAAGAGAGTTAAATTTAATGAACTGTCATTACTTATATAACATTTAAAGTTTTTTGATCTATCAATCTCTTCATCTAATATTCTACTTGTATGATATGCATCTGGATGTGATTTGTGTATTTGTTGCAAATAATTACCACTACCACTGCTGCTGCTGTTACAATCATTATTAAACCCATTTTCATGTTTTTTTGATTTTAGAAAATTTGAATAATTTTTTTATTAAACTATCATTGCTACTACTTTTTTCAAACTTTTATTATCATGAATTTCCTTATGTTTATTATAAGAAAAGTCAAGAAGCTCTCCACTAGTTGGTCTTTTTGATGGATCCACATCCCAACATTTCTGCATTATTTGTGCATAATCATCAGGCATTCCTGGTAATATTGGTGGTCGTAAACCTTCTGCACATATGGGTTCCATGCTAACAAAAAGATAGTTCGGGAAAAAATGGGGTTTTTGAGAAATCAGCTGATTTTGTTTTTCACTAATCAAAACAACCCCTGATTTTTTTAATCTAGAAACAAAGTTATTACCCCTTTTTTGGTTTGTGACACACAATTTAATTAAAAATTTGCAAATAATTAATATTTCTAAATTAAATTTTCTTTTATTAATTCCAATTAAACATGTCAACTAATCAAGGAGCTTCTCAATATTTTTATGATTTATTTGAACTTGGTTTAGAGGAATATGAAAATTATGAAAATATTCAATTTATTGTACATAATTTAATAAAGTTTTTTGAAAGTCCAGAAAGTTGCAAATGTTCTGAAGAAGAAAAAGATATTAGAACTTGCTTTGAAAGAATTGGATTTAAAAAGTTTTTTGAAAGACATTTTCAAATTATTAATCTAAACAGCAAAGAATTAGATTTGTTTTTAAAAGCACAACTTTTAGCAATGGAAATAGAGAATAAAAATTATAAAAAATCTTCTGAAAAGATCCAACAAAGGATAAACTATAGATATTGTTTTAATTCAACCTATGCTCTTTGTAAAACAGCATTTTTAAAGCTATACAATATAAGTGATTCTAAATTCAATAATGTTCTAAAGCATTTGCATGATGAAGGAATAAGTGAACGAATTCATGGAAATACAGGAAGAGCTCCTATACATAAAACTAAAGTCAATATTGATGAAAATTTAAAATCAATTGTAAAAAACTTTCTAAATCAATATTCTTTAATACATGGATTACCCTCACCAATGAGACATAGAAATGATTCTGGTGCATTTATTTATCTCCCCACTGATAAAAAATTTGTGTCTGTGTATAAGGAATTTAAAAAATTTTATTTAGAAAATATTTTAAAAGTTGAATCAGAAAATGATTCAGAAGAAAAAATCATTTCTTATGATTCTTTTAGAAGGTTATGGAATGAGCTAATGCCTAATTTAAAGTTTCAACCTCTTGCAAGTGATTTGTGTGATAAGTGTGTTCAATTTAAATCAAAATTACAGTTAGCAAAGAGAAATATTGAGTATGATGAAATAAAAGTTCAGTTCAATGAACATAAAGAAAAAGCAAATCTTGAACGTGATCATTATAATAATAACATTGAATTAAGCAAAAATGATCTATCAATTGCACATATTTGTTATGATTGGGCACAAAATGTTACCATTCCTTATTCACCCCAGCAAACAGGTGCATTATATTTTTTATCAGGCTATGCAGTTAATTTATTTGGAGTTTGTAAAACTGAAGGAGGAAAAAATCGACAACTAAATTTTTTAATAGGAGAAGATGAACTCCCTCAAGGTAAATCTAAGGGTGCAAATACCACTTTAAATTTAGTTTATCAAGCATTGCAAATTTTTGCAAAGGATGGGAAAAAAAAATTACATATAACTTGTGATAATTGCTCTGGACAGAATAAAAATAATTTATCTTTACAGTTTTGGACTTGGTTAATAATGTCGGGTTGGTATGAAGAGATCACAGTTAACTTTATGATTCCAGGGCATACAAAATTTATATGTGATTCTTTTTTTGGTAATATAAAAAAATTATATAGAAATAGTGAAGTTAATCAAATTAATGATATTGAAAGCATTATTAATAATTCTTCAGAAGGAAATGAATCAATACAATATAAAGATGGTACAGGGTGGAAATGGTATAATTTTGAAGAATTATTTGAAAAAAATTTTAAACTTTTACCTAATATAAAACAATATCATCATTTTAGATTTAACAATCTGCCTGAAAACAAAGGGAAAGTATTTGTTTCAATAAAATCTGGGGGTGAAGAAGAATGTTTTAGTCTTTTAAAAAATAATAACTTTAATCATAATGATTTTCTTGATATTATTCCAATTAATGTAGATTTAAAAAGAAAATTATATTTGTATAAAAAAATTAGCAAATTTGTAGATGTTCGCTATAGAGATATTCATTTTTCAAATCCTAATTCAAATGTAATGCAGATTGATTAAATCTTTGATTTTTTATATAAAGTAGATATATAAGTCATTTTTAATTATACAAATACAGTAGTTTAAATAAATGTAGGGTTAGTTTGTTTTTATCTTTATTTTAATCGTCGTAGATCATTTCCTTTTTTATATCAAAGAAGGATTTTGGGGTCAGTATTCAATATAACTTTATGGATTAATTACACAATTTTTTACTAATTGAATGTCAATAAAAATTATACCAAATTATAATCCTTATTTCAAAGAATATAGTGGTATCAACAACTCATTTTGGGGTTCTTGAACCCGAACTATCTTTTTGTTAGCATGGAACCCACATGTTTAAAAACGACTTCAGTTTTAGAAAATCCAATCTAAAGCTTGCAAGACGAATGATAAATAACCTGATCACATTACCGATTTAAAAGTCATTAATAAAACTTGTGGATGTTGCGGAGTCATCAAATGAAACTTGGGCATTTTTAAATGTGCATCTTGCAAATCTATCATTGACGGAGATGTAAGCGGAGCCCGTAATATACTTTAAGGTGTGTTATGGAAACACAACGAGAGTCGCCTCGAAGTTGAGGCTTACACCAAAGATACCTACCACCTTATTGTAGGCCGTTTGCGCAGGACTTGTACTTTGAATATAGAAGAGAGTAAAAATCTGTGTATCATCGATTTAATTTCGTGCAACGTGAAAAATTAAATATAAAAACAAAATTAGCAATAAAAGGTTGCACTTTTTATAAAATTAACACGATATCTTTTTAAATTAAAACAATGGATGATAATTTGTCTTCGCAGATAGAAGTACTTAATAATAGAATTTCCGAATTAGTTGAACAAAAAACTAAATTAAATAGCACAATTGAACGACTAGAAAGCGATCATGCAAAATTAGAAGCAGATAATTTAGTAAAAAACGAAGAGACGGAACAAAAGATCAACGATCTTGAAGAAGAAGTTGGTTTGCTTGGAGAACAATTGGCTCTTGCTCGTAAACAAGGAGATGAGTGGATTGAAGAGTATGAAAGAGAAAATAAGAGGGCTGGACCGCGTCTTAAAGAACTAGGCGAATTAAACAGAAATTTAGAGAAACAGAAAAGACATTTAGAAAATCAAAGAAAAGAATTACAGTCTCGAAGAGATGATTTAAAGTTGGAGCATGAAAAATTGCTCTCACAAATTGATAGAACAACAACTAACACAGAAAAGATGAAAAGAGATTTGAAAGCAGCTTTAGAACGTCATGAGGCGCAAAAGGAAGAATGTGCTATAAATAAATCAAAGATGTCAAAAGAAATTGAACAAATAAAGTTAGAGGTTGAAGCATTAAAATCAGACTTGGAGATATCAATTGCTGAAAAAGACATGTTGGAAAGTGAAATAGAATTAATTGAACCGGAAACTTTGAAATTAAAAAAAAAAGTAGAAGATTTAGAAAATAATCGAGGTGGGCTGAATTTAAGACTTCAAGAGTTATCGCCCAAAAATTCTGATAAACAATTAAAATCTCCAATGAAATTTAGGAGTAACACTGAGAATGGAGAAATTTCAAAATTTTATAATAAAAATTTGGAAAAGCGTTCGAAATCTTTGTTAGCTGGTTCAAGTAAAGATGGCAACACAAACATTTCAAAGGAACCAGAAGAATTGCACAAACAAGAAATAGAAGTTTTAAATAAAAAACTTTTCTCACAAAAAGATACATATGAAAAAGAAATCAAGTCTATGCAGAAGGTTCGTCAAAACTTGTAAAATCATTGATCCTAATAGCTTATCAATTTTAATCTTTATAATGATTTTTTTTTTACAAAAAATTAGGAAATAAAAAGCCTTTTATCAAAGATAAGAGACATGGATAATGAAAATCAATCAATTTCATCAAACAGGAAGTCATTAACTTTAGAAAAGGCATCCCTCGTTAAAGAGAAGGGTGAAATGCAATATCAAGTAGAAAATTTACAAAAAGTAAAGTTATTTGTAATGTGTATATATAATTTTTTATTTATTTTGTATTGTACTTAAAATTTGTTTTAATTAAGGAATCTGAAAGATATCGCAAGAAAACTAGTTCTATCACTGAACTTGAAAGTCGCATTCGAAAGTTACAAAAGGGTATTTTTTTTTTATTATTACTAATTTGTTCATTTTCAACAAATTCTTTTTTATTAAAAATTAAAATTTTTTAATCATATTTTTAAGAAAAAGATGTCGCAATTGAGCAAAAATCACAAAAAATAATAGACTTACAAAACGAACTTCAAATTTCCAATGATAAAATAAAAGAAATCACCAAAGAAAAAAATCTGATTTCAAAAGAAAGATTAGAATTACAAAGAAAATATTTATTTGCAAATGAAGTAATTGGTTTATTTTTACTATAAGCTTTATTTGTTTTTTATTCAATTTACAAAGCTTCTAAAAAAATTTTAAAATTCCTCAAGATGAAAGAAACGTTAGAATCAGACATTAAAGCTGAAAAAGAACATATAAAAGCAATGGAAGTAGAAATACAAAATATAACAGATCAACTTCAAACAGAGAGACGCGATCATCAAGCCAAGAGTGAACAATTATCAATATATGAAGATGAATTACAAGTTACACGAGAACAGTGCAATAGACATCGTGAAGAAATTGAACAGTTGCAAGAAACTTTAAATCATAGCAGTAGTCAAACTAAAAAGTTTGGAATTATGCGACGAAATAATGTAAGTGTACAATAATATTATCATTACTATTGATTAACTGTCCTGCTGATTTTTTAATGCTGATTTTTTTCTGAGATATAGAGTATCGTTATCGATGATGATGATATTAGACTATTATTTGATGAAAACTCTAAACTTAAAAATGAGCTAATAGAAAATGAGAACCAATTAAAAGAACTGCAAGATTCTGCACAAAATGAAATCAGCACACTTAAAAATGAATTAAATTCTGCACGTGAGCAAATTCTATTAATGGGCAGACTGAAAATGACAAACACGACTAACAGCGACATTGATATCGAAGAAAAATTAAAGTAATAAAATTATAAATACAAATACAAGCCATCGACTATTTGAATTTAACATTATTTCTAATAATCCAGGGATAAAGATATTCAAGAATTGCAAAAAATTTTTGAGGACAAGGTATATATGATGGAACTATATTTAGGAAGGCCTTTTATTAACTGAATAATATAATGTATTGTATGTATTTGATAGGATATGAAAAGTCATCAGAAATATCAGACAGAATTACAAAGTGAAAAGAAACGATACGAAGAAAAAATTAGTTTAATGTCAAAAGAAATACGTTATTTAAAATCGAGATGTATAAGAGAAACAGGGTTTCGAGCTGATCTAAGTTATCAAAAGAGATTTATAACGACACTTTTGTGTGGTACAGAAAAATGGTTAGTCTTTGATTTTAAGGTTAATTTTTCTAGAAATATTAATTTATTTTCTTTCGCTTCTTATTATAGGGAATACGAATTATTACAGATATTATCCAATTCTGGCCCAAATAAAGAATATGATTATGCTAATTCTTCGAAACTATCGCAAAAATTTCGCAGTGTAGTGACTTCAATAATAGCCGTGCAAAGAATGAAGTAAATTATAAATTATATCTATTATATATTTATTGTATTTATATATTTTTAAAACGATTTTATTATTAATGATTTTTTAATATATTATTTAGAATTCTAAAGAAATCATGGGATAAAAGTAAAGAGCTTAGAAAATATATACAACAACAACAGCAATTATGTAGAAACATTTAAATAAACAAAATTAATTAATTTATAATTTATAATTATTATATCAGGTGTACATATCATGTAAAGTTACATGTATTTAAAAAATTTATTTAAATATACTACGAGTAAAATATATATTCATTAGATAATATTAATAAAAATGCAGAAGTCTTTTTACAAACTAGTTTATAAATTGTAAAAATTATATAATTTAATAATGATGTTTTTCATTGTTATAATCATTTATTACTTCTTCAATTTTTCTCTCAAACCAACTTTTGCTTGAAGGATCAACAATATTTATGAAGTGGCCATGTGTATTGTTTGGTCGAATCTTAAGAAAAATCCCTGTGGGTTGTATTGAAGTTGTTTGAATGTCTATTAAAAATATCAAAAGAAAATAATGTTAAATACGATAGCCGAACAAAATATAGTTTGGATTGAAATAATTTTTGATTAATTACCGTCAAAAGATACTTCCCATTCTACTTTGGATCTTTTGTTTTTTATTAACATAATTCTGGATCTTGTAAGCATGACAACTTGATCATCGTTTAGATCTATATTCAAGAGTTTTTTTTTGTAAATTATAACAATTAATTAATTAAAAAAATTTTTATGATATTACCAAGATGCGCAACATATTCATCATTCAAATATTTTCCGTCCTCTAATTCTTTCAACCAAGATTGTCCTAAAGCTTCTCTTTGTTGATAACACTAAAATAATTAATAAAAAATCATTACAATAAATGAATAATTAGTAATGTAAACGATTACTAAAACTAATAATAATAATAGTAATAGTAACAAATTAAAGTTAATAAACATTCACAAATAAAACTCACCCTAAGGATACCATCACGTCCTACAAAACGTGGTAACCTTACAGGTGAAAGATCATTTTCATCAAATACTGTAGTGGTATTACGAATACCTGATAAAATTATTTTTTTGTGTCAATAAAATCAAATTTTAAAATAATATTTGGAAATTAATTAAAATAAATACCTTCGGTCACATTACTAGCTAAGTCGAACACACCAACAACAGGTTTGGTAACAAATCTAGAGAAAAAAATGCATTATTTTTAAATGTGACAATGAAATAAAACATGAAAAATTTATTAAAAACCAAATTTACCCAACGAGGCCTTTGCCAACACCTTTGATGAATCCTTGAGCTCCTTCTTTTTCGACGCCTTCTTTTGGTTTACGCTAATAATTAAGCGTATTTACAGTTAAAATAAAATTATTTTATGAATATTTTTTTAAAAAAGGAAATTCTACATACAGCAAGACCTTCAAAGCCACTTTTAATGCTGCTAACTAATGATGATGTTCCTTGAGTTACACCATATAAAGCGTGCTTAGGTCTGTTTCTGAATTGTGAAATTCTTCTACGATCCTGGTAAGATTTATCCAAAGTTGCAGCAGAAAGACCTAATCAATTATATACATATATATTAAAACAATAGCACTTTAATGTAAATAAATTCTTTTTTTAACAATAAATCCCCAGAAATAAATTGAATATTATTATTTCAAAAAGTTCACCTTTTCCAATACTTCCGGTAATTTTAGAGACGCTATCACTAAAGCCATATACTGTTTTTTTAAAAAAACTTGTTGCGCCCTGATAATTAAAAATATGTCAGGGCTTTATTTCCTATTTAGGACTGCAAATGGCCTACAAAAAAAAATTAAAATGCATACTCTCGCAATTCCAATACCGAGATCCTGAGGCTTATCGCTCATTATAAAACCTTGATAAGGTTCATAGAAAATATCGACAACACCAGAACTAAGGTTGCTGAATAATCCGACAGGGTTACCCAAGAAATCAGCAGATCCGACTATTTTGTGGACCTTTAAAAAGAATAATAATTAAAAAAGGATTCGGTAATATAACTAGCGTGATAAGAGAACAATATCAAAGTGATAAAATACTTGATAAATAAAGGCATTTCCGTAATGTTGTCGAATTCGGTCAATAAGAACAGGTAAACTGACTCGCATGTTTTCCATTGCTAGTGCATTGACTTTAATTGGTGCATCCTATACAACATGCATGATGATATTTATGTTATTTATTGAAACGCAAATTAAATGAGCTTTATGGTTGAAAAATACAAACATTTATATTTCCGATCGCCATAGTTAAAACATTGATAAAAAATGTCATAGGATTACGTGGTGGTGGCCTATTAAAATATTATCATTAAAATATTATGCGTCATTCATTTTTGTAAGAAAAAATATATATTCTTCATATAAAGCAACACACTTATTTTCAACATTTATACGCTCAGTTCTAACGAATGATATATTAAATCTCATTGGATGTATATGTAATACTTCAAAGTATAATTGATTATCGCCTTCGGTAGATTTTGGCTCAGGAATATCGAGGGCGCCATCCAAAAGTGACCTATTAAAATATAATTTTAGGTTAAAGTAATTGAAAATAATCAATACAATATATAATTCAAATGCTATTTATTACGTTTCATTTTCTTCGTGTGAACTTAGACCCTGAATTTTAGTAAACTCAAGTAAAACAAAAAGAAAATCCTCGTCCATTTCAAATGTCATTTCTTGTAGTAATATAGAAAAGTATTTGATGTAGACAACACCATGTGCTAAAATGAATATAATTTACTATGTATTAGTTAACATGGAAATTTTTTTATTAATCTGAGAAAACCTTAAAATTCTAAATTGCTCACATTCATCTTTCGCTTTTATAAGTGCTGCGTGGAAAGCAGGATGTGTGTCGGTTTCTTTTTCATCTTTAGGAATCATTGTAGGGTATAAAATAATAGGATACAATCCTCCATATAATTGATTATCAATCTAAATTTTTTTTAAAAAAAAAATTTGCAGGTTGTTTTATAAAATTGTTCAATAATTTATACAAAGAAATAACAATGGTCGAGTAACACTTTCCTGCAACCACTTAACAACGAAATTGATTGATTGATACAATGTAGAATCTTTATATTTAAATTCCAATCCACGCATTGATGCATAAGCCAATTCCTATAAAAAATTATTTTTAATATAAAATATTTGGTAAAACTCTACTATTAAATAAAATTTTTATTTTCATACCTGCATCCTCTTATTGATAATAGATATCCCAATTCCTACAAGTCTTATTTGAAAACTAATTGTTGTTACTGAATCAACATCAATCTAAAGGATAATTATTTAGTCGATAAACATAATAAAATAGATTTTGTATTATAAGACATCAAATAAGATCGAAAACAGAATGCATACCACTTCAAAGGCTTCCCGATTAGATGTAGGTTCGTTATTAGTATTAGATGTGATTGATGGTGCTCTTGGTCTAAATATGCTTTCCGATTGTTTATAATTTGTTAAAAGCAAAACTTGTGTTGGACCATCTGCAACAACTTCTATAGCCAAAATCTTGTGTTTATTGTCATTGACCTTAAAAAATTTTTTTTATATATAGAAAAATCAAAATTAATCATCAAAAAACTTTTTAAATAAAATTTCAGAAAAAATACATACAGGATATTTGAACGGCACAAGAGACCCGATTTCTTGGATGTTGACTACTCTTTCATTATCATTAATATTTAAGACTAATTTTTTATTTTTCAAAGCGGGATAATCCCATGAATACGCCATAGAATTACCAGAAGCTACAACGTATAACTTTGTAGAAGTGGACTGAGCGCTAGCATTCTAACAAAAAAAATTTTTTTTATTAGCTTAATTAAAACATTATATGAATTTAAACTTTAAGCTGTAATTAACTAAACAAAACCTGTTGATATACAACTACATCAACATCTGAATAATTTTCAATACGATAGGGCCATCTCCCTTCTTCTTTATTAAAGATGACAAAAACTGTAGCGTCCTCCAATAAAATTTCAGTTCGAATCAAAGTAATATCGTCATTATTTCTATAAAGTTTAACGTGTACTCTTCCGAGCTCATTGATATTAATTGGTGCAGACCTAAATATACAAGTTAAAAAATAATATAAAAAAAGAGTCTAAAATTGATTTTGATACAATACTCTACATACCAAGGATTTAAACGTGAATAGCACAGGGTTATTTGTTTCACGTCACCCTGTTTCAGAAAATGAAGAGGTGCACGATTTTTTGACTTAATAGTTAAGAATTCTTTGGAACCTGGTTCTCGGATGTTTATATCCTCGTTTAAGTTGTTTTTAAGAACAAATCTTGGTGTAATAGTTATGATTTTTGTTAACTTGTACTATAATAAAGAATGATTAAGTTAAATCAAAAAAAGTAAAATATATTTATGAAATAATCAAAACACAAGTTAATTAATTATTAACCTTTTGTTGACCTTCCTGAATACTAACGCCCAAGTGCATTTCTTCAGATTTTGAAGGAACCACAACCTCCAAAAATGTACCAACAGCTTCAAAACTTATCGGCTAAAGCCCCAAGCGAAAAAAACCCACAAATTAATAAATTAATAATAACACTGTAAACATACAATAAGAATTTTTTCATTACCCTACTCCAATCTGAATCACCGATTTTTAAAAGTGCACGATTTACAATCTCATCATTTGGATATGAAAACATATATGGAGCAATCTAAATAGATAAAATGTTTGAAATATCAGAAAGAAAAAACATACATATGCACACACAACATAAAGTAATTAAATATTAAAAAAAAAGACTAACATTATTTTTTCTTGAAGATCCTATTAATATGGAAAGAAATTTTTTTAAATAAAATAATACAATAAAAATAAAAAAACAAAAATTTTAAATTAATTTAACCTTGACCAGCAGCAATTCTTGCTGATTGCAAGAAAGATTTTGATTTAAAAATCATATCCAATCCAGTTTTATTGATAATAACATAAGGACTATAGAGACTGAATTTGAATGCACCGCCCGAATCCGGAATTTCACTACGTTTATTAAAATTTTATATTAATATAATGATAAATATATATATATATAAATGAGATTAACTTAGCCTACGTGTAGTATATTCTAAGATTTAATTTTAAGCCAGCAGGATCTGTAACTGTTATTGTGTCATCAACTTTATAATCGGATTTATTTGGTGATGCAATTATGGCAGGTTCACTGGTCTTGTAATCTGACGAAATAAATAATAAATATATATCTGTATACATATAATTTATGTAAATGTTTAAAAATACAAACTTGTATCTTGTATATCTATGCTAAGAAGTAATAAATGTCCCAATTCGATAAGATGAAGTGAATCTATGCACCCCTTTTCTAAATGATTATTGAGGCAATTTTGATTTTGAGTTTTATCATAGATATGAAAATTGACTTTATATGGTAATAAATTTTCAAATTGAATAGGTGCACTTAATCGAATCGCCATGTAAGGATATTCTCTATAAAAAATAAAAAAATAAAAAAACCATAAATAAATTTACTTGGAAAGAAACTACAAGTTTAAAAGGCTTACTTTACAAAAGGATCATTTTTTTTGTATCTAGCAAACACTTGAAACCTGAAAGATACATCATTACCATCATCAAGAGAATTACAACCATAAATAAATTTACTTGGAAAGAAACTACAAGTTTAAAAGGCTTACTTTACAAAAGGATCATTTTTTTTGTATCTAGCAAACACTTGAAACCTGAAAGATACATCATTACCATCATCAAGAGAATTACATGAAATTGATTTGAGTGGATTACGTTTAATAAAATCTTGCCAAAACAAATTTTCGGTACTCCAATTGTATCTAAAGCCGCCTGTTTGCCGAATTAGATACAATAAATCCATTTATTTATTCATTTGTTTTTTGTTATCAAAATAAAAATAAAATATAATAAAGTTTACCTTCAGGTCTGATTTTGAATTGATTATGGTAGGCAGCTTCAATAGGTAATGGGCAATCTTCTCCAGGGGCTAATTACCGGTACAAATATTTTGCATTTAATAGAATTAAAAAAAAACAATGATCATTAGATAATAGATGATAAATAACCTGATTACCTATTTGATAGACCTTTTTAACATCTTTTTTATCTGAATCAATTATCAATAGTTCTATTGTAAGTAATGTACGGTTTTCGACGACCAAAACAGATCGGAAGGTCACCACTTTAATGTTATCTTCGAGTTTTATGTCAACCATCAATCTATGCGATACATTATTTAATTTTGGTCGAAGAATATATAATTTTTCCCCCTCTCTGTCTACATGGATGTCCCTGATGCATTCCCAATTAGAACCATCAAATTGAATACCAAGCATGTTTTTCATTACCATCATACTCTATAAAACATATAAATAAATAAATAAATAAATAAAGATATATATATATATATATATATATATCAATATTTCATAAATTATTACAAATAAAGTAAAATAAATACCTCTCGTGTTTTTCTCCAGTCATCAAATCTCCAATCTATATCATCTCCATCATTCAATACTTTTAAAACGGTGTTTGTAGCATCATCAGAAGAAATGGCCCATACATGCATATTATAACCTGTCCTATTTCTTAGTTTATATGGTGTTTTAGCACCTCTGGCTGTACTTAAGACATGCTATAAATATAATGATAGTTTCAATTAAACTTTGATGTTATTATTATCAAACTAATTAAACAAAAAATAAGGGAACCTGCCTCTTTTTCATTGTTTATTATAGACAAAGTCGTCAACATAGTTTCCAAGAAAATATGGGTTATATTTATTTCCAAACGTTTCTGAGAAGATATATCAATTATCATACTTTCTGGATTCAAATTTTTTGACGCCTAAATCCAAATACTCTAGCCATTAATATTCAAATAATAATGATTATTATTATTAAAAAAACTGATTAAAATTCACACGTACATGCAAACTATACATCCAAGGCTCTACCAATGGTTCCCAATGAGAATTTGTCAAATTAAAATAATTCATATAAGTTGAAATTGTAGCATCGACACTCATCTGATTTTTTTTATGTTTACAACAGTTAGATTTTTTTTAAAAAAAAATTTTTAAAATTATTTTTAATCCTACTTGAGATGACCAATTTAAAATATCCAAAGAAAATTTATTTGCAGTCGCATCTATCATTGGTATATTATGTTCATCTCCAATTAAAATAAGACGAGTTCCTTGAAATATAGCTTTTAACTGATTTGCATAATATGAATATGTGAGTAGATATACTTATAGCTCATAATAATAACTATATAAATTAAGACCTGTAAACTTACCGATTCTCTTGACGTACTTGCATAGGGACGCGATTTGGTCGAAGAGGTATTTTTCTTGGCTGCAGAAAAAGCATTAGAATTAAATGTCCTACCATGAACTAATGATTGTGTTTCCGAGTTTTCTGCTTCTATTAAAGATTTTTCAGCTTCTTCCGATGATGACGATGATTGAGAAGAAAGTTCCGAGACTTTATTGATGATTGATAATATAAGTAAAACATCTCTGTAAGAAACTCTCAAGATAAGTGGCCCAACATCAATATTAATGCTTGAAAGTTGTTGACCCGGCTTGGAATTAGAAGTGTCCAATGTCATTGCAAAATCAAAGTTATCAATAAACCGTAATAATGTTAAATCTCTTTTATCCATACGACACAAAAACATGCCAATTTTATTAATACTAATAGCTAACACTCTTTGTTGTGTAAGAACTATTTGATGTGCTGATAATACAACTGCTTCAGTACTTGCAAGATGTGGATTTGCCAATAATATTATTTCTGCGCCGGTTATATTAACACGATAATTAATAGTCATTGCTTCTGAAGGAACTGATGGCTGTTGTTTATGTGGTAATTTCGATAGTTGAGATGTTATTGACGATTTAGATGAGTTTGGAGAATTAGATGGGTTGAGTGCAGAGGAATCTGAACTGTCTGCCTGATTATTCAGTTTTTTTTCAGAATCTCGAGTTTCGAATGCGCTCATAAAGTAATTACGAGTTTCAAATAAATGATCTAAAGTGAGGATCACTTTTGGACTATCAACAGTTGCAATTGCTGTAAGGCTTTTGTCTGCCCCATTTCCAGAAATGCTAAGAGTTACCATAAATTGAGACGTGTTTTTATTTACAGCTGGTAAAATCTCTTTATAAACATTTTTTATGTTATGTCGTGTATCAACAAGAGTTGCAGATTTCAATTGAAGTTCTGCTTCAATTGATCCATCAGTCAACATTTGGAACTTTATATCAGTTTCATTTAAAGAAAATTTCGACAAACTCGATTCGCCTAATTCTTTTACTTGAGAACCATCACCAGAAAAAATTTCCAAATTAATTTGCTTTACTTTAAATGCCAGGTCAACTGAAATCCAAGGTTTTTCATTTTCCTCCTTAGCAGGCGAATCAATATTTTGTAAAGATTTTGGATATGTGGATGGACTTGATGTCGTATCAGGTGAATCAAATTCCTTTTTTGGAGATTTTGAACCGTTTCCACTAAATGCTGTAGTGACAGAGTTTGAAAGATCCAATAAAAATTTGTATTGTTTTTGTGTCAAACTCATGTTTACATCCGACATTTCACCGATAACCTTTTACACACACACACACATAGATATATATATAAGTTAGTATTTATAATAAATAAATAAATATATAAACAAATGGATAAAAAAAAAAACAAGAAAAATAAATAATGAACCTCCATGTCTGGTCTTGTTGAACCTTTAACATGTTCTGCATATGAAATTTTGAAATTTATATCAACGTCATCAATAATTTGTAAACTTTGAGTAAAGCCATTATGAAATTCAAAATTCGATGTCAATCGAATTTTTTGAAGTTCTGCTTTTATTTGAGTAAGAAACCCATTTCCATTTTCATTTGAAATAAATTCGTTTATAGCAGACAGTTCACCAAGATTAGCAACTAATGTATCTTTATTATTATGAGGAAGAATTACAATTGGCGAATTAACTAAAATGTCAAAATGGAATTTTGATACTTTTTCTTGCAATTGAGCAGCTTGTTCAATAGCAGCTGATCGAGCAGAATCATATAGGCCTTTCATCTGAGCAAACTTGCTACCAAAATCAAGTAAAAGTAGAATCGGTTTTTCGAGGAAAGTTACTCTTGCAGATCCTGCACGTAAATAAATAGATGAATTGTATCCAGGAAAACTAGGAGCATTCTCATCAAAGGTTTCATATCTAAAATCAGCTAAATTTTCCCCTTGTAT